ATGTATGAAGGGAAACAAAGGAGACTTTCTTCAAATGCTCACAAATGAAAAACCCAAAGGAAGAAAGCTCAAGTGGCTAGGACACTATGAACAAAAAGCTTCACACTCAATCAAATTTGATAAGTATCATTAATCCTAAAATTTATTGGTATTCTATAATTTAAATAGATGATTGTATGATACTTGTTGAATTTACACTCTTACATGACAGATGCTTTCTTTACTAGATGAGTATACTTAGCATGATAAAAATGCTCTATTTGATTTTACTACCTTGAGCTTGTCATTGCATATAAGGTAAATTTTGCTACAATATAAATGCTATGAGTGTTATAGTATATTTAACCATGATGAGATTTTTCATCCAAAAATCTCTTGTTTGTTAGTTTTTTTTTATATTATAAAAATAATGTCATTGTTTTAAAATAAGTTTTTGAAGAAGGAAAATCCCCTTAGGTCATTTGAAAGAAGCTTTTAAAAATCTTATACCCTTGAGAACTATTTCAAGATGTTGAAAGTATCTTTCACCTTTTTGTTATCTTAAAAATTAGAAAAATGTTTGGATATATGATATAAATGTAATACTCTCTCCAATTGCTTTGAAAAAATGTTATCTAATCTTGAGAGAAAATTTTAGAAAGTTCCAAACTTCAATCTTTGAAAAGATTTACAAATAAAAAATTAAGGAAAGATACTTCAAATATTCTTAGTTCACATTCAAGGAATATGTGCTTTTGATGTAAAAGATTTTCATCTTTCTCACATGCTTACTTGGTTAGGCAAAACATGTTTTATTTGATCCATCTTATGTTATAATAATGGCTAGTTCAACCTTTTCGTTTTGAAATTCTTATGACTTATGTAGCACCGATACGACACGCAACACATGACACGACACGACACGTCAATCCTAAAAAATTATGGATTTCGACACGTTGGGACACGTTTTAATATTAAATAATATTTTTAATTTATATAGTGTATATTTCATTTAATATTTAATAATTTAACAAAAAAATGAAACTAAATTAATAATACACATCAACATGTTATAAAGATGGAAGTTTTAATAAAAAAATAAGAACTGGGATGAGAGAGAGATATAATATCAGATAGAGAGATCAAATCATATTAGAGAGAGATCAGAGACAAGGAGATACAACAAGAGCGTGATAGGAATTGACAACAATGATGCTGAGATGATCTCTTGTCTACTTAAGGGGAAAAAAGACAAAAAAATAAAATTGATATGATCAAGTAGAAGCTTTATTAATATATTTTAATTTTTTTAAAAAAAAAATTAAAAAAAAATTACGAAAATGTCATTTGACTGTGTCGAACACGGTCAAATTCGCGTGTCGGAATGGTCAACGTGTCGGAAAAAGTTGACCGTGTGTCCGACATCGTGCCGGAGCGTGTCGGACACGACTCTCCCTGTTTTTACAAGTGTCTGTGCTTCCTTGCTTATGACTTGCCATCATCAATTATTTAATTTTAAAATGTCTTACATATCCATTATTGATTGATATTTTTATATGCATAACAATGGATATATTTCTCTTAATACATGCATGTGTAATCATATGACTTATATTTTACTAGTATGCATGATTTTGAGGGGGAGCCTAGCATTTATTTGTAATCATATGACTTATAAAATAATTATGACAATGGAAGAGTCAATAATTTTTTCTTTTAAAGAGACTAACTCCATTGTACCTAGAAAGGATGTTTGTGATGATTATATTGTAGGAAAGTTGACCTACATCCTTTTGGTGATAAGAAAAGTGAAAAAGAGAAGAACAAAAGAACGAAGTCATAATTGAAAATTCACCTCAACAACAAGAACAAAGCTAAGAGCTTACAAAGGAATGGAGAATAACGATATTGGAGATACTGCAAAAAGGTTTAATTTGCAAAATACTCCATGAATTAGCTAAGTTCCTAATCTCTCTATTTGCTTGCATATGACATGATATTGCTATAAATATTTGTGTAGATATGTCGAATGATTTATGCTATTAAAGCCACTTGCTTAATACATGTCTACGAATCTTATGCTTGCTATTATCAAAGTCATGCTTGTCATATGCCTACAACTTGTACATACTATTTTATGCTAGCAAAAATAAAATAAAAATCATTTGTCATATCTCTTGCCATATTCTATACAATGTTCAACTAAGATTTGATGCTTAGTATTGCATTATTATTTGCATATCCTAGATCTTTGTGATATCAATGCTTTGAACTTGAACCATATGCTTGGATGTTTTGACTTGAATGGATTATTTATGTTGGATTTATGATATATTGATCACTTGATGATTTAAATCCACTTCTAAAGCATATTTGCACTTACTTGAATCATTTGAATGCTCTATTATATGTCTTGGCTATTTAATTCCTATTGATGTTGCCTAAGGGGGAGAATAAGTGCCAATTGAAAAAATATAATACACTTCTATCTAACATGTGGAGAAATGGTAAAAACAAAGATGAAAGAGGGAGAATGCGCTAAAAAGATAAAAATGATGTTTGTTGACCCTAGAATTCTCACACTTTTGTCTTTGAAACCATTCATGGATTAAAGGTGAGCTTTGATAGTTGCTTTGACATTATTATTTTGTTTCTAAATAACAAGTGTTCTTTACTAATATGCTCAATGGAATATTGTTGATCATAAGTTTGCATGCTTATCTTGGTTTATGCTTTTTGATGTTGCCAAAAGGGGAAGGAAAATGTGAAAATTGAGAAAATGAATATTCTCCCACCATAAACATATATAATGGTTTGAAGCTCTTATCTTTGATAAACACAATAATATCAAACCATTTATAAATTGATGGGGAGTAATATTATGCATTATTAGAGAATATTTGTTATGCTAACCCTTTCTCAATTTTAAGTTTGTCATCATCAAAAAGGGGGAGATTGTAGATACAAGGTATGTTTTGATGATAACAAAGTGGCAACAACAAAAAGAGAAGAGTTTTGATCAAAAGCAAAAAGCATCAACCATATGTGGATATTGAAGATGTAAAATGTAGCCACACAAGAAGAGTGATGTCATATCAAAGTGGCAAGATCATTGGATCAAGAGCAACAATGAATAATTAGAAGAGAAACACCAAGATCAAATACAACTAACCATGGAAAACATCTAAGAGAAGCTCAATATCATAACCATGAAGAAAAATGATCAAAACCAACAAAGTGCCAAGCATTGTCATATTCAACTAGTCAAAGCATCAAGTTCAAGTAAAGATTCAAGACACAAAGACATAAAGCTAAACCTAAAAACATATTTGGAATATATCTTTAGGACTTAGAATATATGTGAGGGTATATGGTAGATTGCATTGCATGAGCTCAAAGTTTTTCTCAAACTAAACGTGTTTTTCGAATTGCATAATTATAATCTTTATATACTTGAAAGAAAATTGAAAAATCCAAGGAAAAGATCCTTGACATATTATATAACTTCAAAATGTATTTATCAAGTCAAGATCTTTCACAAAAAGGGGTTGGAAGCAAGCTAGAACACATTTGAACCTAAAATTTGTTGCTTAATTTTTCTGCTTCCTTCCATACAATTTTTCGTATCTAAGATGATGGATTTGGATCTTGTGTTCTTAATAAAAGTTGTATATCTTTCTTTTATATTTCCAATGATACCAAGATCACATCAATCCGACAAGTATAACTCAAGTTATGCCCAAAATACGAAACAATGTTCTAGTTGTGAATAAAGTATTCGAATACCTGATGCGGTATTCGAATACCTGATGAAGTATTCGAATACCTCACGAAAAATATTTGAATATTCACTAGGCAGAAAGCCTATAATGGCTATAAAAGACTATAAATGAAGTATTCGAATATCACACGAAAAGTATTCGAATACTTACTGGGCAGAATGCATAAAACGGCTATAAACGACTAGTTTTCAATGGAAACACTATAAATACATTCCTTATGACCTTAAAACGTATTGATCATTATTCCTACACATCATAAGGATGATTTGAGAGGTTCTACACTATCATTTGCATATTCTTTCATATCTTTCAAAGATCAAACATATTTGAGCTCATATCTTGAAAATCCATATACCCATAGTGCTTCAAGTTGTATATCCACACTTTGAGAGTGTATATTCATTTCCTAATATTTCTCTTCTTATATTCTTGAATTGAAAGAGTTGTGAGACCCATTGTTTGAGAGGTAGCCAAATACCTAAGTAAATTTAGAGTGAATTGTAAGGTTACCAAGTACACGTAAACTTGGAGATTTAAAGATATCCAAGAACCCGAAATCTTGGAAGATTGTAAAGGTTTGTCAAGCACCCGTGAAGCTTGACCATTAATGAAAGAGTTGATCGATCGGCTTCAGTCTGAATGTAGGTCACAAGTGGTGATGACCGAACCAGGATATATTGTGTTAGCAATTCTCTAAACTCTTTATTTCTAGCACTTTAATTGCTTCTTTGATATCTACTATGTGCTAGTATAAGTTCTATAATTGTGATATATTATATATTATGGATTGTCTGAATGTATTGATTAGCTTTCCACATATCAAAGTTTGCTTGAAATGATTATTTAGAAACTAGAAGGGGGGGTTTTGCGAAAATTTTGTAATACTCAATTCACCCCCCTTCTTGAGTATGGAAGCCACATTCCTAACACGCTCAACATTAGCAGTTGCTACTGGTAGAAGGAGTAGACCAATAGATAAACAATATCCTTTCTCTTCTCAACCATCTTTAAAGTCAGTTCAGAAATTCGTTTCAAATTGACAAAATCAGAATCAGCTTTTACATCAACAATAAAATTACTCAAACTTGAAGAAAGAAAATGAATATCTGCAAGCTCATCAAACTCCAAAGGATAAAATCTAGCAAACTCAATCAACTTTTCTTTGTTAAAAGTAGCAAATGAATCACGAGGATCAAGACAACTCAAACACTCAAGCAACTTGGTATTAACATTATCAAATCAATCACCCAGCTCTTGAACCTGAGTATCTATCACTCTATTAAATAACTCCACCTTAAAGTAGTGCATGAATGCGAATGATTCCAATCTCCGTCTTGATCTCTCTTTAGGGCAATAAACATCTTCCATATTTGGAATGTCAATATCATATTTATTGGCAAATATGTTCGTTTCTTGAAGGAATTCATCAAAACCATTATCTCTCACCTCTTGTAAGCGAGACTTGACTACCTTTACTAAACCAATTGCATTTAAAAGGTCTTGATATTTTCTTTGTAGTGCTTGTGACAACTCATAAGAAATCCCCAAGATAAGTTTCATAAGATGCAACAAGAATGCAAACTCAAAATCCTCCATGGCATACAAAATGCAACCTGCATCAGTTCTTGCAGCATCATTCGTAGGCTCGTCTTCAATAATTTTCATCAAGGAAATTATTGGAGAAAATAATAAGATAACACTTGTAACTGTACCAAAATAGGAACCCCAACGAGTGTCTCTAGGTCGCTTTATGGTTGTTTCTTGATTCAAACCTTTTCCAGTTAGTATTTCACTGCGAGCAATTCTTTCAACTATTTGCTCATATTGATTCGTTAAAAGAGTTTCTTTCTGCTTGCATGAACCCCCCACAACGGTAGCCATCTTTTGAAGAATGTCAAAAAATTCTTGAATCTTCTTATAATGTTTTGCAACCTTCACAAGTGCCAATTGTAACTGATGAGCAAAACAATGAATGTAAAATGCAGATTTGTTGTCTGCCAAAATCAAACTCTTAAGCCCTTTGAGTTCACCCTGCATATTACTAGCACCATCATAGCCTTGACCGCAACATTTAGACAAACTTAAACCGAGTTTAGAAAACAACCCATCAATCGCAGCTTTTAGTGATTGTGCAGTAGTATCTGAAACATGAATTATGCCAATAAAACATTCAACAATGGACCCCTTTTTGTTTACATACCAAAGTACAACTGCCATTTGTTCTTTAATTGCAACATCACGAGCTTCATCAACTAACAACGAAAAGTAATCATTGCCGAGATCAATAATTATTGCTTTAAAAGTCAAATCAGCACAAGCTTGAGCAAGATCTTTCTGAATTTTTGGTGAAGTCATTTTGTGATTATCGGGGGCATTTTGCAATACCACATGACTCATCTCTTTATTTGGCTTAGTATAAACTTTAGAGTTTCAAGAAATAAACCTTGTTGATTTGAACTTTCAGACTCATCATGTCCCCTAAAAGGATGACCATTCGTAGTAGGTATCTTGCACAATCTAAAGAAGCTTTCAGCCGAATACGATAATCAATTCTTTGTTGCTCAGAAATATTTGAAAAGGCAATATCAATATGTTGTTTTTGCTTCATCAAATCTTGACCAGCTTGATAACATCTATTATGAACACTCCTATGATCTCCAACATGAATTTTGATTCTGTCCTTCTTTTGCCAATTTTTGAACCCCACACTAACAAATGCATCATGCTTCGAACCACTACCTCCAACCTCCATATCAAATAGATAACAATACAAGAAATAACGTGCATCTTGTGATACACTATACTCCAACCAAGAACCAAATTCTTCATACCACTTAGGATTGAATCTACGCATTGTCCCATACATTTTCGTTTGAAGGAATGGTTTAAGAATTGGTTGAGTTGGCCCCTTGAGCAAATAAGCTCTCCGAATATCCTCTCTCTATAGGATTTGGTGTCATTGAATAAATTGAAGGTCTTTTTCCGGATCCGCTTCAAGATTTTCTATATTAAATTTTGCTTGAGGTGGTGATTGAAAACTTTGAAATTGAGATGCTTGTGGTGGTACATTTTGTCTTTGATCTTGAGGAGAATTTTCCACAATTGGAACATTTTGTCTCTGAGGTTGATAGGATTCTTGGACAATTGGAACTGAAATACTATTTGAAACTTGTTCACTTTGAGATATGGGTTCTGTATTTGTGGGTTTTAGACGTTTGAAATAAGATTGTATTCCTGACAAATCATAATTTATACTTAAACCAATAATACTCATTATGTTAGTGAAACAATTACAACCTAAAAATCCAAAAATAAATATCAATTACACTGTTTGTTGCTATTAAAACAGTTATAACAAATAAATAAATATAGAAAGTTACCTTTCATTGAGACTTGTCGAATTACTACGAACCCACAATTATTTGTGCTCTCAATGTTTCAACATCATGATCTAATTTTTGCTTCCACTTCAAAAGTAAAGCTTTGGAGAATCAACCAAAATTATCCTATATTACAATCAAACATAAATAAATTAGAAAATCAACAAAGAGATAAAGAAATATTAACTATGCAATTCAAAAACATAAAGATCAAACTCTAACTCCTTACAAAGGGAATATGAACTAAGAAGTCTTTCTCTAATAAAGAAATATTAATTGTGCAATTCAAAAAATAACTATTAACTCGATGCTCAAATTTTGGAAATTTATTAATATAATTACCCATTGGAAAAAATTACAAGCAAACAAGAAAGGTCATATTATGTTTTCTTGCTATCAAAAGAAAGTTTATGAACAATCATCCTGACGACAAAAAAGGTGTACTGCATTATTTTAGGATTGAGGTTTTAACAAATATAACAAAATTTGGGATAAGGATAATCCACCAACCCTCCCATCACTTTTATTTTGGAGTTTCGCTAAGGTGTCCTTTTTTATATTTTATTTGGATAAGAATACAAGTTAAAAAGAAATAAAATTAAATGAAAAAAACTTTAAATGAAAAAAACGGTGGGTGTAGGAAGGAAAAAGCAAGAAGAAGAGCAAAATAGTGGGACCATGGGGAGGTAATGGTGGGTGTAGCTGGGATGATGGTACCTTCACAGGTGTTAGAGAAATCACACTTGTTTATTTACACAGTAGGATTATCGAAAAATGCAGAAGGCCAAAATATCAACTCTTATCATTTCGCTCAAGGCATGTGGGAAGATATATATACTTGTACTACTGATTCTACAAAGCTGAATGAAAATTAGATAAATGGATTATCAATCTATCAATTTAGTAAAGCAAGCAGGGCAGCTAAGTGTGTGTATTTGAAAATTTACATGTATGCAAATTCAAGCATATACCTCTGACATTCTAGGCAGAGGGCAGCTAAGCACAACATCAAAGATTCAGAGTCATGTTCATGTCTTTTTTTTTTTGAATCCACAGTTCATCCTTATCATCAAGATGAAGATATTGTGCAAGAGAGAGATAAGCGATGTTTCCCTTGATGGCTTGATCCACCGTGTTGTCTCAGTCAATCAAATTTGCAGCAGAGAGAGTGGAAGAGGTAGCGTGTGGAGAAATTTGTTGCAAACTTTAATTTTTTTAAGAGTAAATACCATTTTTGGTCCTCAGCAAATTTCACGATACCCGCTTTAGTCCCTAGCAAATAAAAAGGCCCATCGTGGTCCCTAAGAAATTCAAAATGGACCCATTTTAGTCCTTTTAGGGACTAATATGGGTCTTTTTTAATTTGTGAGGGACCACAATTTCAACTAAATGGGTCTATTTTGAATTTTTTAAGGACCACGATGGGCCTTTTTATTTGTTAGGGACTAAAACGGGTATCGTGAAATTTTCTAAGGACCAAAAAGGCTATTTACTCTTTTTTTAAAGACTTTTTTTAAATTTTCATGTCTGCAAGTGTGGACACGTGTGCCTACGTGGGTTCGCCCCTGCATGTAAGTAGTAGAGAATCTTTCCTCTCTTCCCTGGTTATGGTTTATGCCATATAGAGAAGGGAAATACCTTCCCTTCTTTGCTTGCATGCAAGTAAATGTCAAACCTTCACTGTTTATATAATTGGTATCTAGGGTTCTTTGTTATATTATGAACGACAATTGGTAAATTTAATGGAAAAATTTCTATTGAGTGAATGGCATGCGGTTTGGACAGTGGAAAACTCTACTTATTCCTTGATTTCAAGGGCTGGATGTAAGTGTAGAAAAAGATGATAAAAAAATTGATCAATTCAAAATATGTTGGGTCCAATCACACGCAATTGAGTCTGATCCAATTGAACCCTGAGATGAATCCGCAATGGGATGAGATTTGACGCAGGATACTTCTAAGAGTTGGGTTAGGCTAACTGGTACATGATATCTTTATTTGGCTAGGACAGATGGGGGAGATACACTCCAACATTTAAATCAGTATTTAATCAATGAATTTAAGTTATAATGGAGAATATTATCATGCCTGGCCTTTGAATTTTCTTTATATAGTGATGGCAAAACCTACTTATATCTCCTTAAAATGGTTGTATTCAATCTCATTGATGGATTCAAGTGGCCTCGATAACCTATTTTGTATACAGGATGTTTGTTTGTGAGCTACGCTATATAGATCTAGTTGGAACCGTGTGCCTATCCTTCAATTATTGGCTAGTAAGGAGGCCCACAGATTTTGAACTATTGTCACTCCAAACTGTATATGTGCAAGATGACATGTACGTTGGATAAACGCTTTCCTTTTTCCTTAAGTCTTTTTTATTGGGTCTTTTTTATTGGGTCTCATGGGCTGTAAAATGAGTTGGATCTTTTATCTTGCCAAGTAGAGGTCCAGATTAAAAACCATAATGGTCGAACGTAGAATTTTTATGAAATTTGAGCTTGCATCGAATGTAGAAAATGCATTTTATTATAAAACGTATGCATAATTGCATGAAAAAAAATAAAAATTCGGATGGCACTAGTTTAGTAATAAGGGCAAGTGACTCTGATTCATATATTCGTATTGTGCTCCCATATAAATAAAATCAAGGATTAATACGCAGGACGTTTATTGTTCATGAGCGTTGGCTGCAAAATTCCTTGGATAAAAAACCAACCAACTAAATTTTATAAATAAAGTACTATAGTTAAGATAAATTAGGATGTAAAAATTTGTTTTCATAGAAAAAAACTAATAGCTACAATATTGCAATTATAATAGAACTCTCCTAAATAACACAAGACACCCCAGCTAAATTCAGAGGCCCACTTGAATTTGAATTGAAAATTGGATGTGGAAATACATCGATTTGGTTCTTTGACAAATTCAGAAAGCTCTGTGCCTCTGTCTTAGAAATGTGATGCATAGTTAGCCCAATGCTTTCTTTATTGCTGTTGAGCAGCGAGCGCTAACCATTTTCAGACGTACATACAAAGGAAAACTAAAAACTGGTAGATACATCAACTGTCTATCAAAAACCAAACTGTTCTTTGTAAAACCATATAAACTATGGATTTTTAAAATGATTTTCATAACATTTTGTGTACTCTCCATCTATTCTTTTTAATTATAGTATCAGCCATGTGACTTACTTTCTTTATCACCAAATTAAACTATCTCTGGTTTGATTTTTTTTTTCACAGAAAACTCTATAAGACTACTTCTCACATGACCAAGTCGTCTGAAAATACATAAATTACGTAACGATGCAGATACAGTTACCTATTTACATAGGATGCAACTTGTTTCTTTTTAGTTTTGTATGCTTTGAGTGTTTGCGTATGAATATGTCTATAAAGAGCCGTACCTCACAAAAATAAACATTTTATTACATACATGAAATAATAGTATAATATCAACTAGTTCACGCATACAAAATTAACACAATCTAACCATGTACACGATAATTTTAAGGATTTGGTGTTTCTACTGCAACCCTAAAACAATGTTGATAAGTCTCTTAATGGAGACTTAGAGCATGTGATTTATATTGCATATGAAGAGAATGAATTGATTTTGTGATTAAAATACTCAAAGGTTTGTAATTTATCTTTTGTTGATTAAAATACTAATGGGCTATAGTATTTCATTTTTTAGGCCCAATTGCTATTTTAAATCAGAGTGACCCAAAGAAAAGAAGAGAGCAAGGAAGAAGGAACGGACTGGGCCGGACCTAAAGCTAAAGCCCAACTAAAGCAAAGAAAGAAAAGAATCAAAGAAAGTGGGGAAGAGATAGAAGCAGATACACGATAAACAAAAGTCATTGAGAGAAAACCTAGCACATACTCATCGTGCGATCAAACCCACATCAGCCATCCCTAATCCTTGCCACAAATCAACCCATAAGGTCAGATCATTCACTTCTTACAGTTCATCCGTCCAAATTAACCCACATCCACAGTCCATTAAGAAAAAAAAAAACAAGAAAACCCTAGCCACTATTTTTGGTTCAGAAAAAACCAAACAAAAATCTGTTACTGAGTGGAGGCTGGAGCGATTTGTGAGCACACGTCAGTGTACGGGTTGAAGGAGCAACAATTCCATTCGGATTGTCTGAGCAGAGGAGTGGAGCACTGTGGGGTCCACCCATTTGCAGCGCACAAGCAGCGCGTTATACTGCTGAGCTGGAGCAAAAGAGGAATATTATGCAAAGAAGGAAAGGAGAGCTATAAAAAGGAAAACAAAGAGAACAAGGAGTGAGTGAGGCTCTCCCTTCGGTTCTGCTTTTGGATTTTATTTTTCTGGTCTTCTGAATATTTTTTTAGTTGGAATTTTCTTTCTGTTTTGTTCTGTAATGAGACTCATCTTATGAGCCTTATGCATGTCTCTACAGCACTGTGATTTCCGGTTGTTAGGACCAGTGCTGTAGTTTTATTTTAAGCATTTTATATTCTGTAATATTTGAGTTTTCCTTTACTGTTTGTAAGCTCCATTCTCATGGATAGGAGCTAAACTTTTTATAGGTTGGGTGTAGGTACCCAAACCACAGTCGTGAATATGTGCTGAATACTATTTTTCTTGAAGTTGATTCCCTGTTTGTTTAACACTGTGCTTTAATTTATTTATGCTACTGTTGAGGCCTGATAGTAGGATATGAGTTTGGGAATTAGTCATTGAGAATTGACTAAGTCCAGAACTGTGTTGAACACATGGACTTGAGTGTGAGAACACTCAAGGGATGTTACTCAGATATGAGAACAGCCTCCATGTTGTGTTGGATTGGATTATAAGGGTCTTTTCTTTCGTTTAGCACAGAGATGTGCAGATGTTTGTTAAAGATAAAAATGTTTTTAAGAGATTAAAACCAATAAGAAAAGGGTCCAACACTTTGGAACTAATTTTGAGAGATTTGTTTTTTTAGCACTTATTTGGAGGCTGCTGGGAGGGGAACCAAAAACTCAACCTATTTTTACAACTTAGTGTCAACACTTGAGAATTATTTTCCTTTGATTTCACATATTTCAAATCTAATCCTAGTTACCAATTTCTCCTTCTAAAAAATCTTTTGACTTTTACTTTTCTTTTTATATCAAAAATATCCCAACTTATTTTCCCTCTAATTGTCCACTCATTAAGTTGTCAATTCAATTTTTAAAAGAAAAATCCAAAAAGAAAAGAATACAAGGTTTAGTACTAATATTGTGTTTGTTTGTTTTCCATTTTTAACCATTTTTAGAATAGGTTCAGTTTTAGCAATTACCAAATTTTGTCAAAGTACATACGCTAAAGATCCTTGTGGGAACGATATAAGGGTTTCATATACGCCCTGTATTACTTGTTGTCGCGTATACTTACGCGCTACTTGCATAACTGTTAGCAAGCCAACATGTCATTTTGAAATTAAATAAAAAGACATTTTAGGAGAAATTTTATTGCAAAATTCCAACATTTTTTTTCCCAAACTCCAAAATGTTTTGGGATTGCAAGAGATAAACATGTTTCCCTCATTTTAATATCAGTTACCATGATTTAAAAACTAAATGCCAAAGCTTTTAGAAAAATCGAAGTGATAACACTTATATACTAAAACAGGGATTTGTAAAAAGGAATATTTCAGGTAGTTAACTGAATAGTACCCAGTTTTCGAAGCACAAATCATCATCCTTCCTAAATCCAACTTACGGAGAACTCAAATACTTACGCTAGTCTCATTGAATGAGAATACACATTACTAAAAAAGCACGAGAAAATGGAATGCAGCAGTAAAGGTGTCTTGTGATCTATTCAAAGGGTTCTGGGAAAAAACTACTTCAGGTAGTTAACTGAATAGTACCCAGTTTTCGAAGCACAAATCATCATCCTTCCTAAATCCAACTTACGGAGAACTCAAATACTTACGCTAGTCTCATTGAATGAGAATACACATTACTAAAAAAGCACGAGAAAATGGAATGCAGCAGTAAAGGTGTCTTGTGATCTATTCAAAGGGTTCTGGGAAAAAACTACTTCAGGGTACATTGTAAACTTGTAATCTGTGAGATGCCTTCCACATGCTATAAATTGTTTTACAAATGAGTTAATGCCAAAGTGTATAGTTCAAAATGAAACAGATATATTTCATAACCCACTGATACAATACATAGCCCGTAAATTACATAATAAAGCATGAAAGCAATATTCATCACTGTTTAAAGAGAGAGTGAAGGCTAATCATCATCCTCGAGAACACTTCGACGCCTGTGTATCTGAAATGGTAAAGAAAAATGGCACAGTAATTATAAAATTTGAGAAATGAGAATAGAGCAATATAACCAATACTCTACAACTTACAGTAACTTTTGTCTGCCTTGTTGTTTGGTTGTTTATCTGCTCCAGCAGTGATATGAGTCTTTCTTCAGAAACCTAAATATGCCATTGAATAGATAAGGCATGGTGGATAAATTGATACAATAATACTTTGAGTGGAGTAATTACTTTAATTTTCTAATGGGAGATCATCTCTTATACAAGGGCAAAATTTCCACCTAGTAGTTTCTCCCTTTCAATTTTTGGAAGGGAAATTTATATTCTTTTAGTATTTAAGGTAACAAGGTGTGAGTGTGCTTTTTGGGGGGGGTGAAACCATCAAAGGAATTTAAAGTCATCATCCTACAATATGCATATTAACACTATCAAAGCTGTAAAATAAACCCAAAAATTCCCAGAGACCTAAAATTCGTTGATGTAAATCATCATCAAAAACCAACTTCCTTTCCCGTATATTACAGAGTCAAAGAAGTCAAAGAGAGAGAACGAAAGTGAACAGAGAAAGAAAGTAAAAGTGATTTCTTATTGAAGAGGTGTTGCACAATGGTCTAATATAGACCTCAGAAATATGCCACGTCATCTAGTTTAGTTACAACCAGAATCAGTTAGCTGAACTGAATTAGTTTTGCTAATTACAAAATTGACCCTTGCTAATTACAAGATTGACCCTGTGTACAGCTTATACAGCTGTACACCTTATCTACTCTAATATGCCCCCTCAAACTCAGGGTGGATGGAGATAACTGAGAGAGTCCACCACCTTGAGTTTGTCCCTTAAAACAGCAAACCGTGAGGCAGATAAGCTTTTAGTAAGATTATCAGCAACTTGATCCAAGGATGGAATGTGGCAAACTTTTATTTCCTTAGCAATGACACGTTCTCTGACAAAGAATATATCTAATTCTATATGCTTTGTCCTAGCATGAAGAACTGGATTATGAGATAGAGAGACAGTACTCAGGTTGTCACAAAGAATGAGAGGAGTGCCAAACTGGATTTGAAGCTCATGAAGGAGAGACTTGAGCAAGAGGACCTCTGTTGTGGCTAGAGCAAGGCTACAATACTCAGCCTCTGTACTGGACCGTGCAACCAGATTTTGCTTCTTGGACCACCATGATACTAAGTTGGATCCAAAAAAGATACATGCTCCTGAAGAAGACCTTCTATCATCCGGGTCACTAGCCCAGTCTGCATCACAAAATGTAGTGATAGAGAATAAGTGACTTGGATGACACGGCTGTAACAACATACCATGATGTAAGGTGCCATTTAAGTAACGTAAAATTCTCTTGACTGCAGCCCAATGTTCTTCAAGAGGTTGAGCCATAAATTGACAAGCTTTGTTAACTGAGTAGCTGATATCAGGTCTAGTAAGTGTAGCATATTGGAGAGCCCCAACAATGGAACGATAGAAAGATGGATCTGAGTAGTAGTTGGACCCATATTTGGAGAGTTTGCAGCCAGATTGAAGTGGAGTAGAAATACCTTTGGCTTCTGCCATAAGAGCTCTATTAAGAAGATCTTTTATATATTTGGATTGAGTGAGAATCAATGCTCCAGAAGATGTTCTCTGAACCTCAATGCCAAGAAAGAAATCAAGATTCCCAAGATCTTTGAGAGCAAATTCAGAATTAAGTTGCTGAATGAGAGCCTGAATGAAGCTGGAGTCATTGCCAGTGATGATTATATCATCAACATAAACCAAGAGAAAAACACATTGAGCTGACTTCCTGTAGATAAACAGTGATGGATCACATTTACTAGCAACAAATCCAAGGTGCAATAGAGATGTTTTGCGCTTGTCAAACCATGCTCTTGGTGCCTGCTTTAGTCCATAAAGTGCTTTGTGTAACTGGCAAACAAGTGATTTATTTGGAGACTCAAAGCCGGGAGGTTGTTGCATGTAGACCTCTTCTTCAAGAGTGCCATTGAGAAAGGCATTATTGACATCTAGTTGCCTTAATGTCCATCCAAAGGAGATAGCAACAGTAAGAATAGTTCGGGATGGTAATAGGCTTAACCACTGGGGAAAAAGTTTCTGTGTAATCGAATCCAGCCTGTTGGTGGAATCCTTTGGCCACCAACTTGGCTTTATATCTATTGAGAGTGCCATCTGGATTTTCCTTAACTTGAAAAACCCACTTGCAACCAATGGCAGTTCTGTTGGGAGGAAGAGGAACCAAAGACCAGGTGGAGTTAGCCTGTAGTGCACTCATTTCAGATTGCATAGCAGCAGACCAGTTGGGATTAGCCAAGGCTTGTTTGATTGTGACAGGTTCAAGAGAGGTGGACAAAATTTGTGGTTGTGAACAGTTTTGGAGCGGGTAGTAATAGAGTGAGTGGGTGAGTTGTGAACAGGTCCAGAGGGTATATATTCGGAGCCAGAATCAAAAGAAGAAGAAGAAGAAGAACTAAAGGAAATAGGAATAGGAGAATTTGAACCTAAAGGGACTGTAGTTGAGATTGACTGAGGGGTGGAACTAATGCTGCTCGAAGGTGACATGCCAGAAGATAAAACAAGACTTGAGCATGGTGAGGAAGAAGCTGGTTGAGCTACGGTGCATGATGGTGTTGAGGTGTTGCTGCTGGATGCTTGAGAACTTGGAGTGATTAAACTTTGATGTGATGGTGAGAATGATGGATGTACAGAAGCATCAGACTTGATATGTGAGGCTACTAAAGGAATCAGATTAGAAACAGGAGACGAATTAACTATAGCATTGTTGGATGATGGACTGTACCAGATAGGATATGGAAACTTTGACTCATTAAAGAGAACATCCTTAGAAACAAACAGTCTGCCAGATGAGTTCAAGCACTTGTAGCCTTTGTGAGTAGGAGAATAGCCAAGGAAAATACACTCACTGCTCCTAAAGTCCAGCTTGTGGTTGTTGTATGGTCTTAGGAAAGGAAAACAAGCACACCCGAAGACCTTGAATGATTTGTAGTCAGGCAACGTTTTGTGTAGTTTCATAAAAGGAACCTCAAAGTTCAAGGCAGCAGTAGGTAGAGAATTAATGAGATACACTGCTGAGATAAAGGCATGGTCCCAAAATTTAATGGGTAGGGATGCATGAACAAGTAAGGTAAGACCAGTTTCAACTATATGACGATGCTATCTCTCAACAACACCATTCTGATGATGGGTGTGAAGATAGGCAACCCTGTGAATAATACCCAAATTTTTAAGGTGTTGATGAAAAGGTCTAAACTCTCCACCCCAATCAGTTTGAAGAGCTTTAATGGTTGATTGGAAATTGTTTGATATAAGGGCCTGGAACTGATTAAAAACAATCAATGCTTCTGACTTTTGTTTGAGAGGATAAATCCAAGTGTATCTAGAGTGAGCATCTACAAAAGATATGTAGTAGGTGAAGCCCATTGTGGACTTAACAGGTGCTGGACCCCATAGGTCACTGAAAACAAGGTCAAAAGGTTTTTCATACACTTTAGTAGAAGGACCAGAATGCAATCTATGTATTTATCCCAAACAACACGCAGAACAAAAGGTAATGTCTGTTTTATTAGGCACGGGAATATTACAGGACTTTAGAACTGAATTCAGAGCCTCAGTTTGAGGATGTCCCAGTCTACCATGCCAAAGAGAGTACATAAAGTTTGATCCTATAGGATTTGTAGAGCTACTGGCTTTATTAGCTGTGTTTTGTGTGATTACATCAGTGAGTAAAGTATAAGCTGAATTACTGGAACTAGTACACAGGGAATTTTGACTACAAGAGACAGAATTGGATGTAGGAACAGAAGCACATTGTTGGCTTGATGGCAGACTAGAGTTGGAGGAAAGAGTAACTCCTTGAAAGCGGTACAATCCATCAGTTCCCAAAGCACCTTCCAGCAACACCTCATGAGATGCCTGAGATTTGACAAAGCAAGTGAAAGGGTGAAATTCAAAATATACACTGTTATCTCTAGCAAATTGACTTACACTGATGAGATTTTTAGTTATGGAGGGAACAAGTAGTAAATTGTTGAGATGTAGGTGAGTGTGTGGTTTGAGTGGAGAAGAAAATGAAGAACAACCCGTAGCATTGACTTTCAAACCTTGGCCATTTCCTATGTAAACCTGGTCTGCACCAGATAGTTGTGTGCTTTGTAGTAGATTTTGAGGATTGGCAGTCACATGGTGAGAAGCACCTGAGTCTGGATACCACTCTATGGACTGAATATTTGAAAAAGTAGGCAAGAGTCCTTGTCCTTGAGATTGTAAAGTAACATTGCAATGCTGTGGAGCATGATGTTGAGGTTGATTTGTAGTCAATAATGCTTGAGGCTGGTTGGCACTAGCAGGCCTGTTGTACTGAAATGACCTCTGAAATGAAGGTTGTGGTGGTGGAAAGAACTGATGAGCTTCAGGTGATGAGAATTCAGGCACAAAATTCTCATCAAATCTATACCAGCAACTTTGAACTCCATGTCCAAATTTATAACAAAGTTGATACTGAATATTGTTTCGACCTCTGCCTCTTCCTCCTCTGTTATTCCTACCATAAAATCTTCCTCTTCCTCTTTCATTATTTGTACCATAAGATCTTTGATTCTGGTTTGTTTGCACAGGAGCAAAAGGAGGTCTCATAGTTGTTGAATCAGACCTTGAACTTTCTTTTGGATCAGACGATAACTTCTGAACCACATTAACAGTCATTGAATCTGAAAGTAGAGTTTCATTCTGCCTTGCAAGCATCATTTCATAGGACATCAGTTCAACACGTAAATCATTAAGTGAGTATGAATTTTCACGAGCTCTAACAGAGGTAACAAACGCATTGAAATCAGGAGGAAGACCAGCTAAAATCAGTTCAGTTTGTTCTTCAACTGAGATAGGGCTTTTGATAGCCTTCAACTCATCACAAAGAGATTTAACTCGTCGGAGATATTCAGCAACAGATCTGCTACCTTTCTTGATGGTGCGAAGCTCAGATCTGAGTTGATGAGTTTTGGATTTCATCATACCTTGGAAAAACTTGTGGATTTGCTCCCAGGCTTCATACACATGAGAGACACCAAGGATCTCGTTCAAGATTTCTTCTGAGACAGTAAACAGAATCCATGAAAGGAGCATTCGATCTTGACGTAGCCACTCAGTGTAAAGCGGATTAACAACTTCATCAACACGAGCTTGCTCAGATTCAAACTAAAGAGGTATCTTTGGGTTAACAAGGAAGTGATGGAGCTGGTGAGAGGTGATTACTGGTTCTACAACTTGATTCCAGATAAGAAAGTTGCTTTCCGTAAGTTTAACGGAGATCTGATGAGTGAACAGTGACGGAGAAGATGACCGGTTCTCTATCGTTCCATTTCCGGTGGTTGCTCCGGTAGCTGAAGACGACGGAGACGGTGGTTGCGAAGCGGAAGACATCGTGTGGATGGATTTGTATCAGGCCCTCAGAGAGAGGGCTCTGATACCATCAAAGAAGTCAAAGAGAGAGAAGAGAGAGAACGAAAGTGAACAGAGAAAGAAAGTAAAAGTGATTTCTTATTGAACAGGTGTTACACAATGGTCTAATATAGACCTCAGAAATATGCCACGTCATCTAGTTTAGTTACAACCAGAATCAGTTAGCTGAACTGAATTAGTTATGCTAATTACAAATTGACCCTTGCTAATTACAAGATTGACCCTGTGTACAGCTTATACAGCTGTACACCTTATGTACTCTAATACAGAGTATAGAAATTCGGCATCTACAAGTAAAGTCATCTCAACCAATTATTAGACAAAGACAGCCTACACTGACATGTTCTAACTTCCAGCATCATACCATCAAACATGGTTGTCACAATCACAATTCAACACATATATGGCTAGAACAATCAAAATCATAGCAGGAAAATCATTTTGCTGGGATTACACTGGAATTGTGTTCAAGCATGCAAAGGCAGTAAGATCGTTTAGTCTTTCCGTTCCTAGCAAGTTACCAGATGCTTGAAACTCACTCGACAACCAGAAAAAATACAACACAAACCCGAAAAATAACTCACTCAAAATTAACCCAGCAAAACTACAACCAGCGGCGGTTATTGGTTTTGCACGCACTGCGATGGAAAGGCCATTGCCCATCTCTGATATTTCCAGCACCAACTTTGGTTCAAATGATTTGGTTTTATTTATTGCATACGTTTTCTAATTTTCAAGAAAAGTCACAAGATTTATTGGATGGTGTGGATAAGTGGGTGTCAGCAGTCAAAAGCCTTCTAGCGTTGTCCCACAACAGACTGACCTTTTCAAGATTCTAAATAAAAATAAATAACACAGACAAAATAAAAAGAGGTACCAGTACTTTATATATATATTAGGATCTCACATGTCTACCTCCCTTGTCTGATCCTAGATAGGAATAACAATTTTGACAACCTTGCCATCAAATGTCTATACAATCCAAATTGTACAGTTTTACCTACCAAAGTTAGTTACTGCCACAAGATGCAACACTGATATTCTCAACCAATTGCGTGTAAGTTACAAGAAGGATGAGAACACTGAACCTCTTTTTAATATTGAAAAACCTCATTGGATATTTGAGGAATTGTTATCAGCATTTTTATGATCCTAATTATCATCTGTACATGAAGACATAGCATGCAATTATAGATTGAGGACCTTTTCTGGATTAGTGATTCATGCAACAAATAAAAGGTACAACTAGAACTTCACTGATCATATGACAATATACCACACAAAAAAGTTTGTCGAGTTTAAATTAAAAATGTTACCAACAACAACTTGTGATAAGAATAGATCCAATATACCTTTTCAGTTATCTGACCCATTTGAGCAGCTCTCAATATAACATCTTCAACACCTCTTGCTTTCTCAGGTTTCACCAAAGCAATTCGAGCAACTGAATATAATGATAGCAGATATTTAAAAGAATGTAAGAAAACCAACTAAATATAGCCAAATGCTTCACGCCTTCAACTTTTCAAAGAATAATTCAGAGGTACAATGGCAAGCATGCTCATTCCATGTACAAACTACTTAAAAAAATTGAAATCCAAATGTGATTTTTCTTCCTGCAAGTCATGTTCTACATTATCAAAGACAACTAGGCCCAAATCTTCATACCCAGCTACACATAGGTTTGTGAGCTAAAATGACTCCATCAAATTTTCAACATTACTGCATTCAAAACTCATAACCTCTCAAATCCAACTTGGATACTTTCTTTTGTTTTGGTTTGAAGTTTGAAAAACCAGATACATCTCAGATTTTGCAAGGCTTAAAAAATGATACCAGCCCACCATACCTTGAAGGAATTGAGGTGAGGAAACCTGCAACACTGTTTGATGTGGAACAGGTCAAGGCAGGAATAAGTGAAAAAAATGTTTAGAGAGGAACACGAAGAAAAGGGGAAGAAGATAGTGAGTAGGGAGAAACAGAAGTTTAGGAAAGAACCATTCCCACTCAATCATTATCTATTATTATTTGTTTCATGAAGACTAAATATTGAACTTCAATATTCAAAAAAGTGTAACAGATCAGTTCAAAATATATTCTTGAAGTCTTAAGTGTATTCAAAGAAATTAACTAGCAGTGCAGCAACTCCTATCAACCTATGACATCCTTAGAGGACACCTACCTAGACACAAGTATGTGCAAACGGGCAAACAGAGAACAGAGGGTAGAGGGAGAGAGAACATGCAACAAATTGCTATTTGTCACACTACCAGTACCAGATCAGTCATCGAAGATTTTCTTTCTTTCTTTTTGTCAAAACCCAGCAGGTGTGTCAGAAACTCTAATTGAAGTTTTCCAAGTTACTCTTTGGATGTATCTTATATCGAAACTTAGCTATTTAGGCAAAATATCTACATAGTAATACCCATATAAACTAATATCTTCTTTCAACAGAGCTCATTTTGGTATCTATTCTGGAGGAAGACTTTAGTCACAACAGGATTATGTGTAATGAAATGGGTAGATACTGTATAGCAATATCTTATATATCCGTAAGATATTTTTCATGATTCATCTTCTACTTTGTACATAGTTTGCATTTGTCAAAATATTTTACGATACCCAATTTGATACAAATATGATATATGAAAGTTTTATGTAATATTGCACATAGTTTGCATTTGTCAAAATTTTGGCTTCATCTACCACCGACCCCAACTAGTTTGGGATAAAGGTGTTGTTGATGTTGAAAGTTTTACAAACTATAAACCTCCAATACACAATACTAACAACTATATCCCTGACATGTGCCTCTATATTCATTGATGCATGACTGAAGGCACGATCGAAATATCAAATTATGCAAATAAAGTTTCACTTTTATCTTCTGTCAGCAGTATAGTACAGCAAAATAATACACAACCATGTCACTTTAAGAAAATCATTAACCAGAGTAAGTTTTAAGAGAAAAAAAGAGTGCTATAATTGATAAAAATCACATAACAACTAAGAAGGAAATATTATGTTATAAACTCACTCCTTTCGCGTGCTTCAGGAGACAATATCTGACTAAGCAGCATTTGTCTTCGTTCATCTGCCTCCCTAAATTATAGAATTTTTCCATTCAGATCAATAATTGTTCTTACTCCAAGGAAAAGAAAAATAGTATCTAAGAGTGTATCAGAAGGATAAATGAAGAAAAAGTTTCTGGGGTTAAACCTAAGCATCTAAGACGAATAATTAATGTAATAGAATAAGAAAATCAAAAGCCACTATGAGCAGTCTAGTGGTGAGGGGATTAGGTAGTTTGCATGAGGTCATTGGTTCAAACCTCAAAGTCACCATTGTATATATATATATATATATATATATATATATATTCATAAACTAACCTCTTTGCATCCTCCTGAGCATTCTGCTGTTGTTCAGAGTTCTGTTGATTTCCCTGTAAATTAGAGGGTGAAGGGGACTGATCAGCAATATTAACATAATTCTCAAACTCTCAGTCTTTACTGTGAAATAAGAAAGATAAACATAAAATCAATGATGGCTAACCATGCCATGCTGAGCCATAAGCTCCTGCATCCTTCTCTGTCTGATTGCTTCCAACTCAGGATCAGCCTGAAATTAGCACACAGATATATAAAACAGAAAATAAGTAATAATTATAATTAAAAAAAAAAGTTCACACTGTAGGCAGAGTGAAATGATATGAAGATCCCAAACCTAATAATTAAAGCAGTGCATAAAATGCTCAAACACAAAACATTTTTTAACTAAAAATAAGTTAAACCCTAATAGATGTAATAATAAGGAAAAGCCACAAACAGCTTCAGACAGCACGAAATAACATTAAAGGAAGATTGAAAAAGCGCGCATGCACCTGTGTGTCAAATGCCCTAACGGGTTTGATTAAGAAAACATTTCGATGATGGAAAAACAGGAAAAATCTAAAATCGCGTTTGTTAACCGGGAATTGGAATGGGAACGTACCATTTTGGTTAGCTGAGAGTGGAAACGAGAAAGGAAGGGGTTTTTCTGATCCTGATGCACCAGCAGGTCGCGTTTACAACAAGCGCTTGTTTGTTACGAATACAAAAAGATTGTGTATTTCCATCAACAGTCCATAGTTGACAACAACATTAGGCCCATCCTAGCGGTTGATTATTTGGGATGCTTTGTTTATTAAACGAAACGGTTGTTGGGCCGGGCTTAAAAATATAAAATGTCTTCCGGCAAATAAACAAGAGAGTTACGTCGCAACTATGATTAGATTAGGATTACTCGTGTATTATTTAATATAATGGGCTTCTCCGTTCTTTTGTGACAGCAAAAAAAAATTCCTGATGTCACAAAGACACAAGGGGTGGATCCAAAATTTAAAAAATAAAACACGTGGGTGGGCGTGATGGTTCAGCATCTCGTCCCTTAAGCAAGTGGTTGGGGATTCGAACTCCAACTCTTGTAAATGAAAAGCATTCTGTGGCCAGCTCTTTACTGATTTGTGCGCTGACCCGGGACGAGAGATTACTCTCATGGTTATCGGCTGTGAGGATACCCGGATATAATCCAAAAAAAAAAAAAAATTAAAGAATAAAACAAAAACAAAATGAATTGAAATCACGTTTTTTCAAAGGCTCCGCAGGACAGAAAAATAATCTCCCGCACCAGGAGAACTATTATTCCGTAATATAATTATGTTTTTGAGACTTATAACTCAGAATATGTCTCTTGTAATTGGAGTTTTAACTTAGATTTAGTATTCACAATTATATGTCTTAATTGGAGTTTTATACCTTAGGTTACGTCTTTCGCAAATTGTTAAACTCAAAATATGATTGATACACTTATTAAATGGCTCTGAGATTTTATAGGATTCAAATCCTTTCAAAAGGAATTCCAAACCCTCCTTGACAAGCTGAAATTCCGCATTTTAACAGTAGGGATTCGAATTCTTTCAAAAAGAATTTGAATCCCTCTTCGACAAATACCAAAACAGCAATTTCTAATTGCACAATGGTCCTCTTAGGCCTCTCCTATGCTCATATGACCATTTAATCAATATCCCAACATGTTATTGACCTATAGACAACCTTTAACTTCTTCCTTTAACCCGAAATTATGTCATTTATCAAGGAAAACTAAAGAAGTATCAAGTCTTTCTTACCAAGAAGCTTCAACAACCAAAGAGGAGACACTTTCCAAGCTCAAGCATCGATTTCCATGGCTGACCAGAGAGTTGCACGAATTTAGACTCTTCAAGTTTGGTACTTTTTCCACAAAGGGTGCTTCTTGGTGGGTGATGGTGTTTAAGCTTTATTATAAGATGAGGTTTAGGGAAAGAGAGAGAGAGAAAAATGCTTCTTTTCATGGATGGTGGTAAGCTCACAAGCAAGGAGAGGAGGTGGCAGCTACTGTCTAAGGTTTTTGAAGAATGTTGAGGAGTGTTTATGAGAGGGAATGTAGTGTTTTTACAATGAGGATTATTTAATCAATATCCCAAATATTTTAGTCTTCAATGCGATCTGTTGATCATTTGTTATTCAAATTTTTCGATGCCCACACGTTGTAAGGGAACAATAAGTTCTTAATGATGACACTAATAATATTGCTCGTTTCTGAGCTTAGATTATGTTTGCAAGAAAAAACTGTATTGATTTACTTGATTTTTGTTAGAGATTAAAAGAGAATAAATGAAATTTAGACTTCTAAAATAAATCTAATCGAATTATATATTATTCTAGGTTAGTTAACGTAGCTAGGTCCATCCAGTTATAGCCCAATGGTTAACTTATTCAGTGGACCAAATTTTCTTGCCTGGAGTAATACTTACGATTAACGCCTTAGCCCATGAGCCCAAATTATGAGTTTAAACCCGCGATCCATTCCCATTTTATAAGGCTCAACCCATGATCTCTATAACTGCTATGATAATTATTAGGAGAACTGCATTCCCATTTTATAAGGCTCAACCCATGATCTCTATAACTGCTATGATCATCATTAGGAGAACTGCTCTATGCTTATAGCCATTTATAAGAGCCATTATAAATACAAAAATAAGACAAAAAGGAGGCACTTCAGATTGATCAGATTTACTCATTCATACCAAGCAAACACACTTAACCGATAATCCTAACCCATAGTTGGTATTTATACTGACATATATATAAATCCTGTATGAAATTTCCATGTAGATAATAAAATAAGGGGGGTAACTAACACAAGCAGTTTTTTTTTTTTTTTCTTTATATATATATAACTTACAATAAACAATGGGCCGGGCATCGATAGTTGGTTAAGCCCGGTCCAAGCATAGTTACGCATATAAAGCGGGCATCGTCGTTGTCGTTTCTCTCTTTCTTGTGGTTGTCGTTGGAAGCACTCAACCTATTGAAGTTGTAAATGTGCAGGTGAAGAAAACGCACAAAAGATGGATCCGAAGCTAACTGAGGTTTCTCAGCTCTTTGATCGCTTTAAGGCTGCATTTCTCAGGAACGACTATGATACCTGTTCCAATCTCCTTTCCCAGCTAAAGGTAATTCCCACCCAACCAAACCCTAGTTTATTTATTGCACTATTCAAAAAATGGTTCATACCCTTTATTGCTTTTTCATTTTTCTTTTTCAGAATTTGAATTTGAATCTGTCCTCGTGTGAAGTAAAAAAATTGTGGGTTGTTTAGGTTGCTTTTGTTTTAGATCATTATAGCAATGGTGCATTCTGGGTCAGATAGATTACGGTGACACCTATGTTATTTTAGATTTAGTTAGTTAACCTGTAATGCTATGGAAATAGTGTGTGCTGGGTAGTGAGATACTGGGATTCACCTTTGATACAGTTGTTTTCTGCAGTATAGTGATGAAGTCAAGTGTGGTGTGCTAGATTGGAATCTTTATAGTATATAAAGTTATAAACTATAAGGAACATATCACAGCAGAAAGTTGGATGATCGATATACACGTTCCCCATCCAAGTTCAATAATAGAAGGGGAGGTTTTACCTGGAAAATATGGTGTGTTATTTGTTATTGGGCTTGTATGATTACTGCAAGCTTCCTGAATTCATAGCTCTGATTTATATAGTATATAAGATAGTATTTCAAGGTCTTAACTTCCTTCTTTTTGGGTACATGTTTGCAGCCGTTGTTGTTGTTGTTTTATTATTATTATTATTATTGTTATGTCAGACTGTTAGTGTAAATATTAAGTGACTTGTTTACTTGCAGGTGATGCTAACAGAGTTCAGAAGCCTTCCACCCTTGTTTGCTGATACACCTAATGCTGTTCATGAGTTAACAATAGCAAGTAATGTTCTTCACTCCAGATAATTACTATGTTTTATCCCCCGTTTTCCTACAGTCATTTCTAAGCCTACTTGATTAAGTAACAGAAGCAGATCTTAAATTTGCCTCATACTGTAAAGGAAATTTTGTGCATTAGCTTTGCTATAAGCTTTGTGATTGATATTGGATTTTCTCTTTAATGCCTGCTGTTGTATTTGGCTGTGGCAAGTACAGCTGAAACTTAACATTCCTGTTTTGTTCTTCAAACCACGTGTCCATAGCTAGTAAAAGAGCTTTGATATCTGGTAGTGGTGGAACTACAAGTTAGTCTTTATTTTACTGTATGATAAATGTTTAATATGGTTTCCTCTAAATTAGAGGATAAAAAAAAAGAGTATAATAAAAAAAAAATTATTGTAAATTTGGAAACTGTTAGATGCTTGAAGACAATGGAAAGATGAGCCATATTGATTAAACCAAATAAATTACTAAAAGTTTTCTTCGTAACTGAATGATATTAGCATGAGTAAGATAGACTGCTAAAAAAATGAAAAGAAAAGAAAAATGCTAGAGGTTCTGTGCCTGAGATGTTTTTTTTTCCCCTGTTGACTTTTGAAACTTTCAGGGGATATATACGAGCATGCTGTTGTCCTTAGCGTGAAAATCGAGGATCAGGATGCCTTCGAAAGGGATTTCTTTCAGTTGAAACCTTATTATACAGATGCCTGGTAACTTCTTGCCCCACTTTTTACTTGTACAAAATATCTGTTACTACCCTGGGACAGCTGAACCTGCAACCAAAACAATGGATAACATAAACCTGTGTAATGTATGCCAACAAATATAAAAGTAGTATCCATATTGGAGTGTGATGCTGTGTGTATTTTTTGTTAAGTACTTGTATTTTATGTGGTCTTTTCCCGTGTTGCAGTAATCGTCTTCCACCATCTTCTCAGGAGTACCCAATACTAGGTCTCAACCTGTTGAGACTACTTGTGCAGAATAGGATTGCTGAATTCCATACTGAGTTGGAATTGCTTTCATCCGCCGCACTAGAGAATCCTTGCATTAAGCATGCTGTGGAGTTGGAGCAATCTTTTATGGAAGGTGCTTACAATCGCGTATTGAGTGCTCGACAGACAGTGCCACATGATACATATGTTTATTTCATGGATCTTTTGGCTAAGACCGTCAGGTAATGAATTTTATTGTTATTGTTATTTTTCCCTAATAGCCTAGCAATTGATTGAACTCAAGTGATAAACTAGAAGAAATTGGAACTCCATCTAAGATTTGTTTACTTCAGAAGTTGGGTTTAGTTAGACTGTTTTGGATTTTTCTCCTCCGAACTGATTTCTATAATATTATTATTAAATTTGGTGAGTTATTTATACTCTTGTAATTATATTCTTTTTGCTTCCTACAATGCCAATTTGGCAGAAGCATGACTCTCCCCCTCCCCTCAATCCTTTAGTGGCTATATATTACTTTGCATTTAGGTATCTGTATAGATTTTCTAATTAGTTTATATCTGTATTGAAACATTCAGAGATGAAATAGCAGGATGCAGTGAGAGAGCATATGACTCTCTTTCAATTAAGGATGCTAGGCAAATGTTGTTGTTCTCCTCAGACCAGGAACTCTTGGAATATATTAAAGAGGTGAGCAATGTTGTGATATATATACACTGAGCGTATCAAGCAAGAGGAGCAAATATTGACCTTTTAATCTTACGTGGATGCTAGAGATTGGTTTTACTTAAATCCAATCTTGACTGCAGAAGATTGAACGGTCAAGATTAGCTCCTTTTTTTTGTTTCCACCTAATACGCCTGGTGTGTGTGTATTGTCTATATGTGTGTAAGGGGTTTGGATGTTGTTTTTCTTTGTAATGAGTTTACTACTAGTTTGTTTACAAAATGGATTGCACAATTTTATTATATTACCAGTGTTCTAAAGTTGTTTTCCATTGATTGCAGGAGCATCCTGAGTGGGAGATAAAGAGTGGTTGTGTCTTTTTCCAAAAGGCAAAAGAATCTGCACCATGCAAAGAAATACCCTCTTTGCAACTCATCAACCAGACGCTTAGTTATGCTAGGGAGTTGGAGAGGATAGTTTGAAAAGAAAGCAATGGCTTGTGTTTCTAAATTTCCAGGTGTTTGGATAATAGTTGTTAATACTGTCTCTTGAAATTGTTTATTTCTGATGCAATGCGGAACTTTTTCACCTCTGTATTTTGGTCATCTAGGTGGCTGTATTGTTTGTTGGGGTATTTTTTTTATTCCTTTAGTTGTGCTCTGGGAAAATAGAAAAAACACTCCATACTTATGTTGACTGTTCTATGTTGAGGACTGGAAGATTGATGATTCTGTAGTCTGAATTTCAAAGCCATTAAAAGGTTCAGTTTCAAATTATGGGATTTTCCATTTTTAGGAGCCTTGTATTTCTTTTATCACTTTAGAAGATTTAGATTGGTGCTCCGCTGACCCCTTTTGTTTTTCTTATGCAAATACGGCAAGTCATTTCATTTATTAACTGCATGGTGTTTAGGTATTTTGGGATTTTTTTTTTTTTTTTTAATAATCCCTACCCGTGGCTTGTTTTTGGGTTAAACCATGGCGCTATAAATATTTGCTTTGGGAACAATTAGGGGTGGCAAAACAAGTCATGAGCTGTAATTGATTTGCGGTGACACGCCAAAATGTATGTTGTGTTGGCTTGCGGGTTCAAACGGGTCATATACGGGTTTGAATTTTTGACACCAATTAGTTTCATGCTGTCGGGTTGATTTGTGTGATTCACATGTCAACCCATATTTGGTATGTTTTTGTTAGAGATATATAAAATTATTAATGTAGTCTCATTCATCATTTTAAGCTTCTGAGTGGAGATAAGATAAATGGAAAGCTAAGAAACATAAAGAATATTTTTAAAAAACAAGAAAGATTGAAATTGAATGTTACTAAAACCAATAATTGATTTGTGAGATCCAACGACTACGGTTATAGTATGACTATCAACAGTAGGATGATAAGAAAAAAAAGGACTTAGCAAAACAAGTCATATGATCAGTTGTACCAGAATTTAAAATTCATGAGGCTTTAAAATCAATGCAAGAAGCAAGAATTCAAAATTCATGAGGTTTTAAAATCAATGTAAGAAGAGATATAGAACGTGTGTTTTTATAGGCAACATCAAGGAATTGTCAGACGGTTTACACACAGTATCAATAGCGGTCTTAAGCTGCTCCAACTCCCTTTGCCGAATATTCACATATGGAGTAGCATTATCACACTTCCCATGAAGGCGAAAACATGTCTCCTGTGTGTCCAGTACTCTTACAATAGGTGCACCAACGTCTCATGGCCAAAATAAAAATAAAAATAAAAAATCTGTTGGTTAAAGAATAATATTTTTGGTAATTATCATTATAAAATCAATTTGTCTCGTGTCAATTCGTAGGTATGCGTGTTAATTTTAGAATTTTTTTGGCATTTTTAAAAAAAATAAAAATTCTCAATTTTTTAGTGTGTGGTCATATTGACCCGCGACTCACAACAGGTCATGTTCGGGTTCAAGTTTTTGACTCGTCACTAAAAATGTGTCTCCTACAAATTGAACGGTTTCGTGTTCATGTCGTGGCGAGTCGGATCAACCCGTTTTTAATGTAAAGTCAAATTTTCTTTCTAATGTCTACTGTTTATTTATTTATTCCTTGGGCTGGTTGGCTGGTTCTGTCGTGAACATTGGCTTCATTAAGGTCTACTGTTCATGGATTTTTGGTTTCTTGCCATTCCCGTGACAGATTTGGCTTAAGAGGAGCATTCAGTTCCCTCAAATACGAAAAACATTTTGCTGTTACATTTTCCAAGATTAATTTGAAGTTAATGTAGTTTAATTAGCTGTAAGTGTAACTATCTAATTTCAGACTAATGCGGGTAAAGGTAGTGCTTGGTAATTTAACTAGAATAGAATAAAAATTGAAATTAATTTGTTTGGCACAGCTAAAAAATTGGAATATAGTAAAAACAAACTGCTTCATTATTTTTTGTTTTTATTATACAAGCCAAATATGTTTTTTAATCGTTTTCATTATTTATAAGGATACATTTTCTTATTTTTCGTCAAAATTTTGCCCTAATAAATGGCAGTTTTTTCCTCTACTCAAATTGTTAAAATCGAGATTTTACGTAAAATCGAAAGGGAGATAAAAAATTATAAAACATAAACTCGCAATATAAAAAAATTGTAAAAAATCATAAAAACGCGAAAGCGTTTGGATATTGGTAAAATCGTTTTGATGAAAGAAAGAGTAATACTTTTCTTATGTTACATAAGAAAAGTATTATCTCCTACACTCACATTTTTCAAATAGGTGTCATAAGAATTTTTTCTCTCACCTCCAACTTTGTTTTTCTCCTATTTATTGTTTGAGTAGAAAATAATACTTCTCTTTTGCAACATAAGAAAAGTATTACAAAAAAAAAATCATAAAAATATAAAATTGTAGTGATAATTCAAGATTTTAACTACCATGTCTCTACTACATAGAAAGAGGATAAAGAATTTAGGAAAATATTTGTCATTTTAAATTATGCAACTTTATATCTTTTTAGATAAAATGATGTTGTTTTTATATATAATTGATATTTTTTATATATTTTTCTTATTTTTTTTTATTTTTATAAAAGAGAGAGAATATAAAAAGTCGCCAAATATACACAAAAATAATATCATTTCATTTAAAATAACACAAAATTATATCATTTAAATTACAAACATTTTCCCTCGTGTTAGGCCAAGAATGATTCAATTCAATGCTTCCGCTACTTGTGAAGCTCGCCAATTATGTGGCACAATTTTTTTTTTCAATTTTCCTAATTGAATTAATATTAATAACTTTGATTACATAGTGAACGCTAATACGTGAACGCTAATACGCTATATAGTCTAGTGCTGAAGATTCCCTAATTAATCTAAAATCTAAAGATAGCGCAAAGAAAAGAAAGAAAAAGAAAAATAAAAGAAGATGGACATGACATGAAAATGAAATGCTTCAAACAAGATCTCACTTGACAAGTTCACGTGCATCCTGCTGCTTTTGCCCTCTTTCTTATTTCCATAATTCCATTCACCCGGGAAAAGATTTATTTATTGTTCTCATTTCTTTAGTTACAAAATGGACTAATTTCAAAGAAAAAATAATTAGGAAATAAAAAGTAGAAACCAGAGAAATAAACGACCTTTAGCCATCACTGTTTCCCGCACTCCGGATTAGTCCTATGGCCGGCTCAAAGAGTCGAAGCTCGTGGAAATACCGGGGGAAGTCAACTCGTCTCAAAGAGATAATTAGAGTTAGGTAACTCCAAAAAAGAAATAAAGAAACTCCTAACACTCACAGTTCACAGTTCACACCCTCTTACCATACCAAAACCAAATTGTTTTTGCCATTATTGTTGATAAAAGCACAAATAGATTCCAGATTTACATCAACACAGTAAACCAAGATTCACTGTTCCCCAGATGACAGATGCTAATCAACCAGCTAAAAATCATTCATCAGATACCTCTGTTTTCAACCTTAGTAATTGTCGATAAATCTCACACACTACCAGTCCACTCACCTCACATCACAAGTCCAAATTAGTCAACACCCCCCCACCAGTGAATCTTAAAAAAAAGAAGAAACAGCAATCTTAACTTAAGCTTTCCAAATCCCAAATTAACAAAAACAAATAAAGCAAAAGTCACATACAGAGTTAGCAGAAGAAAAGAAAGAGGAGATGGGTTTCACCTTCACCACCATGACTCTAAACTTAGTCCTGCTAATAGCCATGGTAGCCACCAATATCCTCTCACTTTACCACCTCTCCTCCACACTCCAATCTCCCAAATCACCAAAACCACCCCCACCTGTCCCCGACCAACTTATTCACCAACTCCACACCATACGCGCCACCATCAACCACCTCACGCGCCTCCAGCACACTGATACAAATACAAACACGAAATCAAGCATCCCTTCAGATCTGTTACTCTACTCACACCTCTCACCCATTGCTTCATCGTGCCATAACCACCCTGATCTTCTTCACAAGTACATGACCTACACTCCCTTCTCACTCTGCCCCTCCGATTGGGACCTCGCCGAATCCCTCATCCTCCGTGGCTGCCACCCTCTCCCCCGCCGTCGCTGCTTCTCACGAACGCCGCATAAACCGCCGTTATCAACTTCGCTTCCACAAAACCCTTTCCCTTCTTCCCTCCCTGACTCCACCGTTATATGGGACCGTTACTCATGCAAATCCTTCGATTGCTTAAATAAACAGAACCCTAACCTCGGTTTCGAACCTTCTCGCGATGCTTCCAAATTCACCACCTACAAGACCGAATTGGATCTCCCGATCCCGCAGCTTCTGCAGATCGTGAAATCGGCTAAGTCGGTGCTCCGGTTGGGTCTCGACATCGGCGGCGGCACCGGGTCCTTCGCCGCTGCGATGAAGCTCCGTAATGTGACGGTGCTGACCACGACGATGAACGTGGCGGCGCCGTACAGCGAGGCGGTGGCGCTGAGGGGACTTGTGCCGCTGCACGTGCCGCTGCAGCAGCGGTTGCCGTTGTTTGACGGCGTTGTGGATCTGGTTCGGTGCGGGCACGCGGTGAACCGTTGGATACCGGTGACGATGATGGAGTTCTTGTTGTTTGATGTGGATAGAGTGTTGAGGGGTGGGGGGTACTTGTGGATTGATCACTTTTTCAGCAAAGGTTTGGACCTTGAGAAGGTTTATGCGCCTTTGATTGGGAAATTGGGTTACAAGAAGGTGAAATGGGCAACTGGGAATAAAACCGATGCTGGTGGGGTCAAGAATGGTGAGGTTTACTTGACTGCATTGTTGCAGAAGCCTGTGTCAAGATGAGGTAGGAACTAGATTGCTATCTACCTTTAATTGCTAACTCTTTTTTTTGTTTTTGCTTTTATCACCAATGTTTAAATTTGTTGATCATTGAATATTTGTGGTTGTGACTAGATTGGTTCAATTCAAGTATTGTGCATTAAATAATGTTTAAAGGTGATCTTGGTTGGTGGAAGTGCCAAATGGTCTTCTATTGTGTGTTTGGTTGGTTATTCTACAATAAGCATGGAATTTAACTTAGTACCTTATGGCGTCTCTGCCTTGTTTTTGTTTTATGTGTTTGCTTCATTCAGCCCATACCATAGGTTGTATTCTAGAAAAGAAACATCGGATTTTGATTTGAAAGTAAAGATCTTATTTGAACTTAAGTCCACCAGTTCGGCAGTGTTTAAGTAAACAGTTGCTTACTTGCTGTTTTATGGTATTATAATGGAGGTAGCTCCAATGTAATAGGTCTTTGGACTTCTGAGAGGTAGATGTCTTCTAATGTTGGTGAGCATGAGCAATCCTGCCAGTCTGTAACAGACTCTTTAGCTTATGAAAGAAAACGACTTCCCGTTCTCTGTCTCTTTGGATATAGGGATTATTTAAGTCGGTGCCTTCCTATGAAAATTTCCTCACCCTTGCATTAGATACTAGCATCAGAAGAGTTGAAATATGGTTCTTCATGAATTTCCTAAGTATCTTAAATAATCATCTTTCACACTTTAGCCATCTACACATTATTGCAGAAGTTGTATGCTCTGATTCAAACATGAACAGATCCTTAAAAATTTCAAGACTTTTTGAGATAATATATTTTTAGTAATAATTTAGGTCAAAATACAAGTGCAGTACAAGGCTGCAAGCCCAGCTCAATAACACTCGTTACATAATGAGATTCCTAACACAATATAGTTGTTAGAATCACATGATTTGCAATTCAAATTGCACAATTCAACATGATTTGGCAAGCCAGGAATTCCTATCATATGATGAATCGGAGATGGCTTTGAATCATATGACAGATGCATAAATCAGTGCTATTCCATATCACTGATATAAATTGCACAATTCAATGATTCTTTATTTATTTTTTTGTTGTTGTGCTTTTCTTTTATCAATTCACATAAAAGAAATTGAAAGTCAAAGAAGCTTAAATTGTTAAGTGAAAAGGGACTGGAGCACTGCTGAATGCATCCTATTTGATTATTCCATTTTCCTATTTTCATTCTTGTAAAACAGGAGTTTCACACACGTGCTCACCCGCTCCATGCATCCTATTTAGCTATTCCATCACTTTGTTTTCTCTCATCTAAAACAAAGGCTTCATACAGTCACTAGCTCACTGAGCATCTTATTCGGCTATATCATTAAAAAATACAAGTTTCATGCAGTCACTTTATGTGACTCATGATTTATGATTTGTTTTGTGAGACTAATGATTAAGTTGTTTTGTCAATTCCTAGTTTCAAATTATTAAACTAAGCATTACAAATCATTTATGTAATATATTTCAAGTTTTTTTTCATTATGTCTTCAAATCTTACTATTCAAAATGGTTTACGATTCAAAAATCAGCTTGGCAGCTCAAAATTTGATTTGCGATGTGATAAACTTGTAACACAATAATAGTCTTAGTATTATATATATGCGGAGTCACTTGATCTCTCCAGCTTTAGCTACTCAATAGGTGTTCTCATTGCAAGGATGAAGCTATTTTGCATAGAATTCTTGAAGAATGGAAATTTTTTTCTGTGCATCGAATGTACGGGTATATTTTTTTTCCAAAAGGAGAAATTTTTTCAATGTGGTGGGATTTTTTTTTTCAAAAGTGATGAAAACTTTACCAAATGTGGAAAAAAAGGAGTACCCAATTGGGTAAAGTTTTACTCTCGAGCCTCTCTGCTAGGTGGCTAAGCGTTGAAACATTCTAAAAAATTAAACTACTGGTAACTTGGATGAGATGACTTAGTTACTATAGGATGTCTACAACCCTGTGTGGGGACAGGGTAAGTAGGGATCTGTAAATGAAGGAGAGGGGGAAATCTATTGGTACCACGGATTCAACTTTTACGGATGGCATTGAAACAATGGGTATTGTTTAATGGGAAAAAGAAGTATCATTTAAAAGGATACAAGTTGTGTCATTTTAGATGATTTACATAAAGTATGATCGGTCATACTTTTTGTAAATCTGAAAAGTTTTTTTTTTTTCTCTCTCCTCAGTCACATCGCTGACGTGTAAAGTGAAAAAAAAGCAAATTACCGGTCATACCAATGTTATTAGAACCGGACCGGTCATTGACCCGGTCTAGGTACCGGGTCACTGGGTCAATGGTTCAACCGGTGGGTCACTGGTTGAACTGCATGAACCGGATATATATATATAAATTTATATTTTATACTTAATTATATAATAAATATATTAAATGGTGCCATCTACACAATAACCTGCTGTAGTTTAGTGGTATTTGCTATGTTGTTTATCCTTAATGCAAGGGGTTCGAATCCCATTACATGCAGTTTTTGAAATAATTCTCTTAACTTAAAAGTTATATGATAAATATATTAAATGGTATAAATTATTCAACAAGTGATGGTGGCGTAGTGGTAGGAAACGGCTCTCTTTACTCCAAGGTAGTGTGTTCGAATCTCACTTGCCGGTTTGAAGGGCAAACCGGTACCGGTTTACCGGTCGGACCGCGGTTTATGACCGGGTCATATCTGTAAGCCAAACTTAAAAATTTAGAAGTTAGTAAGGAGGATCTCTTACCGTTTGATTTAACTTAAACAAGTTTCGGACATCATTTTTCTTATTTTATTGCGTTAGAATTTTCTAAATTGGTATGGTACTTTCTGGTTGTTATTCTTGTACTCGGCAACTCCACTATGCTGACTCTGACCTAATGGGATTTCCCCCCCAAATGTGGGTATTGCAGTTTGATATATGCTGTAAGGAAGATAAGCATGTCAGTTTATCCTCATTTCCTTGCTCCTAGGTGTTTATGGGGCACGTAATGAAGCAATGTTCATGTCCACTGTGATGATGGATCATCCTAATGTTTTAAAAGAATCAACACATTGGAAGAAAGATTGAAGGAACTCAAGCACAGGTGTATATCCATGAGGGAACTGGTCGAGGAAAATAGCCTTTATGATCGTTTTTGCTTCTTATTTGATTAAATTGTGTTATCCCAATTAATTATTTGGAAATAAATTCAAGAAACGCCATTTCCTGGTTGGTGTTCGTCTAGTTCTTGCGGCGATTGGGATTTATAATGAAGAAACGTCCTTTTCCATTTGATATTCCATGCACACTTTTTAGAAAACTTTTATATGAATATGAATTGTACAACAAGCCAGCGTGGTGGGCTGCTGAAAAGAATTTTGATGATTTGCAAGAGGTCATAAAACCCATCATTTGGTGATTTAAAATGAATATACTAGCGAATAAAGGGTTGTCTGGCCGGATCTTATGTTTAGGTTAGCCGTGACTTGGGTTTAATTTTTAATTTTTTCTCTCTCTTTGATAGTGATATGTAATCCTATTATAAATTGTCATTGAGGTTGGTGGTTTGATCGGGTCTTGCAATTGCAAGGGAGTGTGTCTTTTTCTAATCTAAATTTTTATTTTTATTTGTTTTTTTTCAAAAATAGAATATACTAATAGCAAAGTTTTAGTTATATTATTGAAATTTAATTATGGAAGCTTAATTTTGAATCTTAAATGTAGTTAGGAGTGAGTTTAGAGTTAAGTGATGAGTATTTGGAAATCTGCATTTAATGGAGTGATTTTCTTAAAATGAATATTGATTGAATCTTGTTAATTAAAAATGTTTTTAGATAAGTTATTAGGAACGATTTTGTGATTTTGAATTTGGATAATTTGCATGAGTTTATATGTTCAAATCTCAATGTTATTGTATTAAAAAAAATTATTTTTAGATGTAAAATTATGATAAGGGTATGAGTTACAAAGTTACATCGTCAATATTATTATTTTATTAGTTTTTATTTATGAAGTATACTTTCAACATTGTCATAATGTTTATTTTCAATGTAATTATTAAATTAAGAATTAAATATATAATTTTTTTTTAAAAAGGTCTCATAAAAAAATTAACATAAATATTTATTTGTCTTGGACAATTAAAAATTTAATTTGAAGTGATGAGAAAATATGTTGTGAAAAGAGCGGTGAATAAATGAAATCAACTCAAGAAAAAGACAAAGAAGAAGAAATTATAAGACAAAGAAAGTAAGGGAAAAGAGGCCAGAAAATATATTATTCAGTGTATCAGAATATAAGCCCTACCACCTCAATATATAGATGAAGATGGGGGAAGAATATAAGCTCTTCATCTATTATACTATTACAATACACTTAATCTCCCATAAAATATAGTAAAATCTAGTAATGTCCATTTGTAACACTCCCCTTGGACAATACTGCGTAAATTTCATGTCTCATTAAAACTTTGCTAGGAAAATCCAATGGAAAAAAAAATAGAGAAGGAAAAAGAGTACATGACATACACTATCAATCATTGTACAATCTTCCTCATTAAAAACTTGTAGCTAAGAAAAATCTTGTGCGAAAAAAAACTAAGCAAAAGAAAAAAGAGTATAGAACTATACCTTCAGGGCCATCCTTTTGGAATGATAATAATTAATTTGCTCCCCCTGATGAAAGTAACTTATTAAGTTTATGCATACGTATTTCATATACAAATTTTTCAAATGTGGAAGTAGGTAGGGATTTAGTGAATAAATTTGCAAGATTATCACTAAAGTGAACTTGATGGATATTTATTTCACCTTTCTTTCGAAGTTCATGTGGGTAAAAGAACTTCGATGAAATATGTTTAGTCATATCACTTTTAATATATTAATCATTCATTTGTGCAATGTAAGTTGCATTGTCCTCAAAAAGGGCCATGGGGGAATTACTAATTGTGGGTAAACGACATGAAACATTAATGTGTTGTTTCAAAGATCTTAACCAAACATATTCTCAAGGAGTTTTATACAATGCAATAATCACATAGTGATTTGAGGAAGTAGCAATTAGACTTTGTTTTACAGACTTCCATGAAATTACAGTACATCCGGAAAGGAACATATACCCAGTATGTGATTTAGCATTATTTGGATCAGACATATGCCCTCGATCAGAATATCCCATCAATGTAAAAATTTTGCCTCATGGATAGAACAAACCAAGATCAATAGAACCTTAAAGATAATGAAAAATATGTTTAACGCCATTCCAACTCTTCTAGTTGGCGAAACATTATATCTAGTTAGAACATTAACTACAAATGCGATATCAGGCCTAGTGCAATTTGCAAGATATAACAGTGCTCCTATAGCGCTAAGATAAGAAACTTCAGGTCATAATGCTTTCTCATTAGCTTCTTTAGGCCTAAATGGATCTTTATCCACTTCTAGTGAACAGACTATCATTGGGGTACTCACATTTTTGTTACTCTGCCGATATAGTCGCAAGAGCCATTGTGTCTAACACTTTCCCCTAATTCTTAGCCTTTGTTTGAAACCCATCTGTGATGACTCTCTTGTTGAGCTTAGGTTTATACCTTTATTTCACTAAATCACTATTACGTTAACATACTTTATCCCTAGAGAAAAGCAGACCCATTTCCATTATACAGATAGTTCAGGAAGGTTGAAGATTAAGGAGCTAATATGATGTATATAAATATAAGATATTCAATGTATGTTAATATTTACTTGTATTTTTACCGTAAAAATTTGATTATTTATTAAAGGTTAAATTATTTTGTATGTAATTATTGTTTCACCACAATGTTAATTATATCTCTATAGTTTAGAAGTTTTTGATATTTGGCGATTTTTAAATAGGTTATGTTATGGACCTGACAAAAAGGCCCATTATTTACAAGATCCAAGAATGGCTAGTAACTAAGAGGAAAGCTAAGAAAAAATTCCTTAATTATATTATTTCTAGTGCGACAATAACGGATCAAGAACTGGACCCCCAATATTCCTAGGAGGCCCAGAAATAAAGGGTTAAACAAACCAGGTACACACATTAAACCCTCTCTCTCCGCCGTCACTGTGCACACACTCCACCGTTTGGCTATGCCATTATTATTATAGTGCACAGTGATCCGTTGTTCTCTAAGGTACCTCTCCTATAGGTACATGAGAAAAGACATCTAAATCCAATTGAAACATACCAATTTATGATTGGACATCTTCTATTAGAACACATTGTTTCTCGTCAATGATTGCTAAGATTTTGTTAACTTACACTAAATTATGAGAACCTATTTAAAAACTTTTTTACTTTTGAAAAGAACCTATTTAAAAACTTAAATAAACTATAAAGATGTATTTGATAGATTCTTATCATTTAGCAAAAGTTAACATTTGCAAATGAACAAAGACCTATTTAATTTAATTTTTTAATTATAAAGACTTTGTTAAAAACTTTTAAATTATAAGGGCCTATTTTCAAATTTAGTAAAATTATAAAAATTTACAGGCTAATTTGATCATTATCGAATAGGGTTTAATGTTTATCATATTATAAGAGATAAAATTATCTCCTACACACATATAAAAGTATGTGGGTCCCGTGTTTTCTTTTTCTTTTTCTCTTTTCTTCATATGACTCTATATATTTTTATATGTGTGTAAGAAATAATTTTATCTTCTACAAAATGAGAAATCTCAAACCTTATCAAATATTATCCAAAAAGTTTACTTAAATGCTCCGCCCCATAAGCATTGAGTTTCAACATCTGTAAAGTCTGGTTGGTCCCTCACCTAAAGCTAGAGATCTCTTACTCGAGCCCATTAGGGTTGGGTTTCTATGTTCTTATATGTAACTTCTATGGTTTAGTTTATCCTTTGGGCCTTGAACCCTATTTTGTAACAAAACAAAAATCATTTTTTTCTTTAAAACAAACGTAAATCTAAAATAAGAAAAAAAAAAATCATCGAAAGGATACTTGCTCAAGCGATAATCACATAGCTTTCACTAGTATTGTACCCAAAAAAAAAAGGTATTCCCCAAAATTAATGAAGCAAGTTGTTAGAAATTAATATAATCCACTTTAAAGTGGAATTAAAATAAAAAGCACACTTCAAGCCCCCCACTTTCAAGTGGAATTTAAAATAAAAAGCACAAAAAGTAAACCAAAAATTGAGCCTGTGCAATATCTACGCTTCTAGTCTAATGAACTTTTGCGTGAGGGGATGTGTTAGAGAATAATATATACCATTAAAAATACTCTTACCCAATAACTTAAGGTTTTGGGTTGAAGTGGTTCTTTACATGGTATCAGAGTTTCAGTGACCTCAAGGTCACAAGTTTGATCCTCACCGCCCCCACTTTAAAGTGAAATTAAAATAAAAGAACAAAAGGTAAACCAAAAATTTGGGCATGTACAATATCCACGTTTCTAGTCCAATGGGCTCTTGCGTGAAGGGGTGTGTTAGAGAATAATATAAATCATTGAAAAAGCACTAACCTAACACCTTAAGATTTTGGGTTGAAGTGGTTCTTTACACGTGGTGTCATTATGTGCAACAAAACAATTAACTTTTGAACAAATTTCCTACTTTAATTTTTTGAAAAAAGCCGAGACTTAATTTTTGTGATATACCACATTGCCGTATAAAGTCAAACAATCAAATTCAATGATATACTCAATCGCAAATTGCAAACCCAACCATCAATCACACACTCACAGTTACGTATATCAGATGATAATAATCAGAGAAAAGAGATGTTGGCATAGTGCTAAGTGAAAACATGGTGAGGAGTCACACACTCACAATTATCATTATTGTCTCTAGTATGAATATTGGTGTTAATGATAACATATTGTCTCTAGTATTATTTTTGGATTTCTTTTTTAATTTCTGTATTTATGAAAAGTTTATAGAAAAAATATATATTTAATAACCATTCATTTTCAAATCCAAAAAGAGAAGTAATATATTTAATAAAAATATGAGAGGATACATTCCCTAAGTAAATAATGTGTATTTAATGCTAATAATACATTATACGTTATTTATATTTAATAAATAATATGTCAGGAAAAAATTAGTTTTTATTTCTGTCAATTTATATTCCCCTGCCAATCCGTTCATTTTCTAAAATAGGAAAATAAATTAATTTTATCAAACGTTATTTTTAATCATTCTGTTCCCTGACTAAAAACAAATAAAAAAACGTTTGCGGAAACGTTACCATTCACACCCTATGTCTTACTAAAAATTTATCCATCA